TTTAGATTTGCAACTTATTTCGCAAGATTGACGAACCATGGAACTTGAAAACGCGATTAGAGCGCGAATGTCCAGCACAAATCTTTAGATTCGCAACTTATTTCCCAAGAACGATGAACCATTTAACATCAAAACGTGATTAGAGTGCGAACGTCCAGCACAAATTTCTAGATTCGCAACTTATTTCCCAAGAACGATGAACCATTTAACATCAAAACGCGATTAGAGCGCGAATGTCCAGTACAAATCTCTAGATTCGCAACTTATTTCCCAAGAACGATGAACCATTTAACATCAAAACGCGATTAGAGCGCGAATGTCCAGTACAAATCTCTAGATTCGCAACTTATTTCCCAAGAACGATGAACCATTTAACATCAAAACGCGATTAGAGCGCGAATGTCCAGTACAAATCTCTAGATTCGCAACTTATTTCCCAAGAACAATAAACCATTTAACAGAAAAACGCAATTACAGAGCGAATGTCCAGCACAAATCTCCAGATTTGCAACTTATTTCCCAAGAACGATGAACCATTTAACATCAAAACGCGATTAAAGTGCGAATGTCCAGCACAAATTTCTAAATTCGCAACTTATTTCGCAAGACCGCAATACTTCAATGGGCAAGATAAACGAAACGCTCTGTGCACGAGCTGCCGCGGATAAATAACTAAAACAACAGCGACGAAATGAAACCGTTTGCGAGAAGACCAGAAGATAAACAAAAATAAGTGAGACCGTGTAAAACAGGGGAGTACAAAACGAGGCGCGTGTAGTGTTTGGCCGGTGTATAAAAATTTCGCGATCTACTCTCGGAGCGAAGCCCTTGCGCGGCGGTTAACAACAATCAACGCAGCAATAATCAAATGGATCACCAGTTTTTGACAGTCAGCTTTCCAAATAACACGGGGAACGAATGTCCGACAGGGAACGAGTCCGGCGTGTCCCACCCACACCACTGTTTCCGGATCCCACTTCTCCAGCCGGGCGTAAACTCACCCCCGGTTCGAAAGCATCGGTTCTTCGCGCTCGCACGGTTCTCCATTAGCATATTGTTTTCGCGGATTCGACGAAATATCACCGCGCGATGCTAATGGCTCGGCCTGCACTTTTTTCGGCGGGGCTCGACAGTTGGTCATACGGTGTTAAATTAAAAACATAAATCCCGCTGCGGCACCTAGCCACCCGTTCACCCTCCTCGCGCAGCCCTCCGCTAGCCGTCCGTTTATAATTCTCGTTTGCTCGCGATCCCGCCGGAAGTTCTCCTGTTTACGGCCACGGGCTTTTTTTCGAGCCGCGACGCTTCGATCGCTAATTTCATTTGGCCCGGCGACGCTTAGCCAACGCTCTCGCGAAAAGTTCGCCGACCAATCAGTCACCGGGACAAATGTTCCCCGAACGCTTTGCTGCCTCTTGTTTTTCAGTATTTTTTTTGTTCTGTTCTCTCTTTTCTTCTTTTTTTTTTAATGGCCGCACGTCGCGCGCCGAACGCTGATGAACTATTTTAACGGTACCAATTTCACGGTAACGCTACCGGTATCAAAGTATTGATTTTACAATTATCCAAACTGTCAACACTTCAATTACCAACTAAAAAAACACCGCGATTCCCGGGGGTACCGAGTTTTCGGGGAAATGCGGACTCCGTTGCGAAACGTGCTGCTGTGGACACCGCAGCCACTTCAGATCGAAAGAACTCGAACGAGTTCGGAAGCAGAGACTCCGTTCTATAAAATGAGCCCAGAATTGTATCCGTACGATTATTTGTTGCAAAGATACAGCCGCTTGTAGTTCGCCAAATTGCTATAAATTTTCACATCGATTTTTGGTTCCTGAAAGACTGATGCTTGCGCTAGTATCGTCGTAGAATGATATCAGAAATTCGTGGCACAATGTTTTTGTGCTCGTTGCATAGGGGAAATTTTACGATTAATGTTCTCGTTAATTCTATCCGACAGAAAAATTTTTTTTATCTGCTCGGAGGTCAACAAAGATGATGCGTCGTCAAAGGTCGTCGATAGGCGAACCTTGCTACAGAAAGTGCTGCTGCGAAGGGCACAGCCACTCTAGATCAGAATAACTAAAATAGGTATAAAGTAGAGACTCGAGCCTTTAAAATGAGCCCAGAACGATTCAGATACGATTCTTCTGAACGATGTTACAGCCCTTTGAATTTCTCCTTTCTCCTCAATAGTTTTGAAGTCAGCCGCTGTGGCACAGGTATTCTCAAAATGACACAAAAATTGCATTAAATCGCAGAACGATGCTTCTGCGCTCGTTAGAAAGCCTTCGCATTGTGCTCATCAATCACGATGATTCCGTTGTAGGAAAAAATTTCTTGAACTACTCGCATGCTGTGAAACTATGTTTCTTGCAAAAATTATCATTTTCACTCTTCGTGTAGTACAAAAGAAATTTTACAATATCGATCAGTTTTATACGCGCCATTCAAGGTTTCCAGCTGGGTGCGGATGACGAGGGAACATGTCATTGAAATTTCCACAGAATTGTCTCAAAATAAATTTATGAAACGTGATAAACGCTTCAATTTCCCCGTACCGCACGAAAGACCGATTCCACGTTTTTTTTTCGTTTAGAACTGTTGAAATCGTAAGCAATCTTTCGTTGGAAACAATTAAACAGATTTCTTAACTCAAACACATATTGCAATGAAGATATCAAGATGGCTAAACGCATTCAGTCCTGTAATTTTTCCAAAGAGACTCGTGTCAGACATTCTTTTAATCCTTTGCACTCTTATGTCAAATCAAACTCGACATTCACTTTTGTATTAATAGTTTATTCTCATGATTCGCATTGTATTCACGAGTAAATCACGCGGAAAATTACACAATTACATGATTGGTGGAACAATTGTAGCATTTCTGGTTCTAATTAGGTTGCAAAATATCATACGGGAGTACGGTTGGATCGCGTTATAGCAAATTCTGAAATAAAAGGAAGAAAATATTGGGTTGGCAACTAAGTAATTGCCGATTTGTTCAATGAAATAAAAATTTTTTTTTCCTTGGAACGAAGTTTAATCTGTAATGTATTTTCCATTTTGTTCGATGACTTTGTGCCATCTCTCTGACAACTTGAAAATTCCTCGCTCGTAGAAAGTCTGATCCTTTTCGGCCAAAAACTGAGTTAAGTGAGATTTTACAGCGTCATCATCGTTAAAAGTTTTACCACGAAGGGAGTTGTCCAGGGATCGAAATAAGTGGTAATTCGATGGCGCGAGATCAGGGCTATATGGTGGGTGTAACATCAATTCCCAACCAATATCCACCAATTTTTGCCGAATGGACAAAGACGTGTACGGCCTAGCATTGTTCTGCTGGAAAATGACACCTTTACAATTGACCAATTCTGGTCGCTTTTCCTTGACCGCTGCATACAATTCGTCCGGTTGCTAACATTCACGGATAATAAAAAATAACATAATAATAATAATAATAATAATTTTATAATATTACATTTACGGATATCATCAAAATGGAAGTGAGAGACATCTATAACTGAAGTCGGCAATTACTTAGTTGCCAACCCAATAGATCGCGGATCCTTGCGCGAAATAAGAAATTTCTGCATCAATTGCAAGACAGATGAGCCGAGCATAATTTTCTTCCGTCTTTAACGATGTTATCAAGTTGAAATTAGTCCAGTTGCTAACATTCACGGATAATAAAAAATAACATAATAATAATAATAATAATAACTTTATAATATAACATTTACGGATATCATAAAAATGGGAGTGAGAGACATCTATAACTGAAATCGGCAATTACTTAGTTGCCAACCCAATAGTTTAAAGCGCAAAGGGTTAGAGGAAAGATACAGAGCAAAGGGCGCGTCGGTGGATAAAATAAAACGTGGAATGGATCGGTTCGACTCCAGACAACAAAAGTGGGCCGTTCGTAGTTGATCTCCGGGATCGGCCCTCGATCGGGAAGAGGATCGAGATGAACGCCGCGCACCGTACCGACCGGGCTGTTTACGATGCCGCTTCCGGTTTCGCGGGCGCGCTTTGACGCGGAGAAAGTTTGCCGAGTTAACAGACCGGGGCCGGTTCTCCTGTTTTGTTTTAATATTTGATTAGAGCACGATCGCCGGATATTTGCGTCCGGCGTCAAATGGAAATTGAATTTCCGTGACGACTCCAGTCCATCGGACTGAGTATGCCCGGATTTTTGTTTTTCGGGAGGCGGATCGACGGAGGCGGCGAGAGAACGTATCGGCACAATCGACACTGTCAACGATATCCTAGTTCGTTAAAATATTGTGTTTCTAGTCTGATTAAATTTCGGCCGGGCGCCGGCTTCGGCACCCTTCCCGTTTGTTTTCTTTCGTTCACTTCTTCTTCGTTCTTTTCTACTTTTCTTCTTTCTATCCGTTCCTTTCTATCGCTTGCTGTCCCGTCTCGTTTACGTTACCGTTTTGTTTATTAGATAGATCCATTGAAAACGAGCGGTTTTGTCGAACCTGAAGGGGAACAGTGTGCTTGTTGATTACAGGTACAAGAGCGGGATGGGTCCCCTGACGGAGTTCATGGGGGTGGAGCCGACCAAGAAACGGAAGCGGCGAACTTCGTTCACGCCCCAGGCTCTGGAGGTGCTGACCGCCCATTTCAAGAGGAATACTCATCCGAACGGTGAGTCACGCGTTCAATTATTTACCCGGTTCATTAACACTTTCGCCGCCGCGCGCCGACAGCCTTAAAAATCTCGTTGTATTAAACTACTTACTTAACCCGTTACCCTATATTCTCGCGTCGGACTCGTTGCGAACGCTCGGAACGCGATCCACTTAAGTAGAAATCAAATTCTGCTTTTCTATTATCAACATTTGAGCCGTTTATTTTAAAAGCGGCATAAGAAGTCACTTTATCGTAATGAAAAGTGGTGATTTTTTAATGTTTATACGAAATTATTTATACCGAGAAAAATATCGGTATCCCGAGATAACAAATACAAGTAAATCTTCTCGAAAGTTAGCATCCGTATTTTTAAACGTGTTCAAACGCAAAATCTTAAATATATCGACTTAAAAACAAAGTGACTTGTGCCACTTTCAAAATAAACGACTCATTTATACGTCGATGTAAGGATTAGTGTTCGATAAATGTAAATTATCTAACGTATGTAGACAAAGAAGCGTCGAGCAGCATAATTGTGAAAAAAGTCGTAGTGCAATGCAAAGGTCAATGAAATCAAAATTTAAAATTTAAACTGCACGTTAAGTTCTTACGTTTTCCGGATCCCAATCAAATTAGGAGAATGCAATGTATTAGCCTAAAAATGAATTTTCAAGTCTGATCGAACAACGGTGTCACATTATCTCTCCAATTAACCTGAACGAACGAACTCCGAACTTCTCTCTCTCTCTCTCTCTCTCTCTCTCTCTCTCTCTCTCTTTGTTCGTTCACCACTTTTGTCGCACGAATGCATCGTTCTAATTTCGACGAACCGAATGTGCAGGTACGGACATCAGCAACCTGGCGGGCAGGCTAGGCTACGACAGGGAGGTGATAAGGATTTGGTTCTGCAACAGGAGGCAGGCCCTGAAGAACACGGTGAGATCGATGGCGAAGAACGTGATCTAAAGATAGTGCGGCGTCGCATGAAGAACCTGTCGCCACGAACAGAACCAGTGAACAAAAGTGAAGCTTTAAGGACTCGATCATTGCGCAGCAGCGGCCGAACAAGTAGTCGAAGAAGAACACGAAGCAGGAGAAGAAGTAGAAGAAGGAGCAGAAGAAGAGAAAGAAGACGGAGAAGAAGAAGAAGAAGAAGAAGAAGAAGAAGAAGAAGAGCCGCCGATCCTGGGAACGCGGGCTGTTTCATCGTGGATCCGCTCGGTGAATCGTTGAAACTGCGAGCAGGGAAGAAAATCGAATCTCAGTGTCGCATTATTAATATACTCCGACAAATCGGCGGGTTGATAGAACAGTTTAAACATTCAAGCGTTTCAACGAGTGCCGGCTTTGAATTTGAAGGCGGCACGATGAGCGCAGCTGTGCTGCCGGTCGATGCAATGATCATTGTGATTGCAGGCGTATACGAGACCTATCTGTAAATAATCTTTAATCGATGAATAATGTGATGTACAGGAGTCGAGCGTCGATCGCCGGGACCGGTCCGATCGATCCCGGCAGCTGGCGATCGAGCGAACGCGTTTACCAACGCGTGGTACGCGTCGATTATCCGTTTACCAGCGGCCAGTGAGTCGCGGGATCGATCGCAGCGTCTCCGCGAGCCGCGAGGCCGATGCGTTACCAACGGACGATTAATCGAAATTTGAAATTTCGCGGGCTTTCGGTTTCCATTCTATCGGACAGCGCCGGCGACGTTCGCGGGGATGCCTGCGTTGACGGGACCGTATCCGAGCGGTCCGCGCCTCGACTCGCAAAACTCTAGGGTAAGCAATTCCGCAAGTAACCGCACAGATAAAATCTAGTTCGTAACATTGAGAAGCTTCCAGCCAGCCGAGGATCGTACGCGATCGATAAATTAGCACAAACAGAGGTCGCGCGCGAGCCAGCGCGCTCGTACTTGCTCGCGCGGCGGACAAGACTAAAAAAAAAAAAACGATTGAGGGGACCTCGTGGTTCCGCTGCACACTGAACAGAACATAGTTGAAGCAACGACAGCAACAGTACCAACACCACAGTACCATCGCATAGTTCACAATGCCATAATACACAGGGATATACCATTCAGTTGTCCATGAAATAGCAACGGAGATGTTTTCACAGTACCGCCGATGTCGTTTATAACGATCGTGTCCAATTCAGTTTTCTCTTCTTACCGGTATACAAAACGAATTTATCTTACGGGACTTCCGTTCACGCGACAAAACGAAAAGTAATAAGCAAAAACGTAACTGTTTCAACCGCCATTGTTCTCTGGGTGTGCTCGTCTTGTAAATTACGCGCCTATTTAGGGATCGAAGCAAACGAGAAAAGGGGGAAACGATAAAATAGAAAACGCAAAAACGGTTGGGAAGGCAAATAATAAAAAAAAACATAGGTGAATAGTCAGGGGGAAGGGGCGGGGCGGGGCGAGGAGGGGAGAGAAATCAAACATGTCGAGGAAATTCACGCGACGCGTAGCGTCTTTGAAAGTAAAGGATCCTTCCGATGCTTCATGAAATTGCATTCGAAACGGGGGGGAAAGGGACGTTGATGGCGATCG